AGCTCCAGGAAACAAAGTTAACAACAGAGTTGGCAGATAACTAACGATACAGCTAACTATTCGATCACTGGCACAACAGACGTTTTCAAAATCCATGTCCTAGTCAAGATTACCTGGCAAACTGCCATCTTTGAATGTGAAATTCGCAACTGACTACTGACTATCGTAAAGTTAATTGCTCTGTAACTGGCACTCCCTAACTGGAGTGCTTTTTTAACTTCTTTTCCAACTCTGCACCGGAAAAAAAATCTGAATTCGGCGACATTTTATCGTGACCTCAGATTTGGACAAGCTTGTGGACATAGATTGAGACTTCCTTTGCGCGGATTTTTCCAGAGATTATCTCCAGTGAAGGGGAGCACTATATGTGGATCTCAGAAACCCTTGCAGAATTCATTCTTCTCGGGACGGGTATAGAAAGAGAAAAAAATGTGGAAAATAATTTTGAAGTTCTGAAGTCTTACTTCCCTCATATTTCACTTTAAAAAAAATCGGTTTGGAGGTATTGAATAAAGTAGCTGTGTAGAATAAATGTTTGAAAGCCGGTTAAAGTTAAGTAATTAAGCGAAATAGAACGAATGTAGAAGCAGATAAAAGTGAAATAAGTTGGATAAGAGAAAACATACCTTTCTGATGAATAGGCGAAAGAGAAAGAGCGGAAAAAATGACGGTAAAAATGATACAGAAAATTGCGTATTTGTAGATATATGTGCACAGAAGCCGTAGATGTAAGAACGAAAGGATGCCTGCGAAAAAAAAGTGACCGTGAAAACTTGAAAAGTTTCTTTGAGAGAGACAAGTTGGTGGATCTTACACTCGTCGTCGATGGATTTCTTAAGACGTTGTTTACTTAAATATCTTTTTTAAATAAAAGTTTCTTTTAAAGCCGAAAAGTTTTAAAAAGTACGGTTTTTTTTAGGAAATCTCCTTCCTTTCCGAAAGCAAAACCTTTAGTCGCGGACTTCGGACTTTTTGAAGTGCATGATACCCCATGTTACGTTGCTTTATCATTTTTGCCTACTTCTTTTTCCTTATCCGTTTACAATTCACTTCTCTCTCTATACCACTTTGTCTTACATACCCGAGGAATTAAAGTACTAAAAATGGTGTGGGATTTCTTCACTCAAGTGACGGATATCTACCTAAAAAGATGTTCCACTCCTTTCTTTGCTGCTGTCGTATCTTCTTTGATAATAGGTTCCTGCTTGCTGAGCAAGAGGTTTCCCTTGGGTTCGTCGGACCGGCGCTTTGACATCGGCAGATCGAATTGTTTCTTTCGAGTTTTAATCTTTTTGCTGCTGCTTACTTGGCTTTTTTGCGTTTTTTTTTCTGTTTGGTTTAGCGGCGTTAGTGGTACATGTTGTGATTTCCCTTGGCCAATGTTTTCTGCGAGGACCTCTTAAGCGACGATTGATAGGCGGCGGATAGCATGTTTCTAGAATTTTATCTTTTGCTGCTGGTTTGGCAGAAAAGCCTTTTTACGGGTCACTTTGCGTTTAGCTAGGTTTTTGAAATCATTTTTTTGCAACCTTCTGTTTTTTTCCTTGTTGCCGTCTTGTCATTTCTTCACTGACTGATGTTATTTGGGTTTCATTCCGTTAATAAATAGTTTTGAGAGAACGAAGTGTCAAATAACACACTTTTAACAGACTACAACGACAGAAGCTGTCAAGTGTGGTGAAGCATATTTGGAGATGTGTGATAATTAAGATATAATGTTGGTCGACTTAAATTTGGAATTCACAGCTGAAGCATTATTTAACTGCCGTAGTGTCGCTAGTAATCCCAAACTTATGTTGTGGCACATACAAAGCCATCTGGTCACTGCTGAAAATTGATATAAAAAACATACAAAGCCATCTAGTCACTGCTGAAAAACGTTGGAATGGAGTAGAAAAGATTTTGACAAAAATAGAGGTGCTTTCAGTGTTTGTTCAATTAATCTGTGATATTAGTGAATTCTTGTAAACTATTAAAAGCCGAATCTTGGTACTGAAAAAATCTTGGTACTGTCCAAATGCTTCTGTTAAGTTCAGCTTCTCAGGAAGCTCTTGCAAGTATAACTTTGGGAGGTTACTGTAACTTACAAGCGTTTTGAAGCAGCTGGTAAAATTTCATTTTCGAGACTACTTGAGCTGCTGTACAGAAGTAAAAAAAAGATGGAGAAAGGATTTTTAGTTAAAGTAATTTTATTTTTTCCTTTGTTTTCGCAACTGTTATTAAAGCAGATTACCGATGATTGGCTGATGTCGGGAAAGAGCACTTTTCAACCGTTTTAGTTGAGTGTTAGCTCGTTTTCTATATTTTACAAAGCTTACTCATATAATTGTTCAGATTATATAAAGTGCTTTTAAAGTTGCACTTTCATTTGCTATTTCTAAACAAGAAGTAAAAGTGGATGTTATCAAGAAAATTAACGTAGCGTTTTGGAAGAGACTGTATAAAACGTATGTATTAATTCATCCGCGTTGACGTACGTTGCATATTGTGTAAAAGAGGGAAAAATATAGGTAACAAAAGAACTGAGATGACATTGTTAATGGTGTTAATTAAGTCACCAATAATTATTATTTTATACTGACTATGTTCTTTATGCTAGGGAATGCTGGCAAGCGTTTTTTTTTTTTCAACTCTTATCAGATATTTTTGATCAACTTTTAACGATTTTAGTTACACACTCACATTTGTAATTACAAATTTTATTTTGGATATAATATAAAGCAAATGTTAAAATGGAAGAAATTATTAGTTGGAAACTTCAGTGATAGGTTTCTTAACTGAATTCGTCAGAATTGAAGTCTACAGTTAAATTTGTTGAATACTGTGAGTGATAGATGATTAGTAGGGCGTTTATAATTAATTATTGCAGTTCTATTCACCTAAACAGTGCGCTTTGCTAAGTGTTCAAAAAATTCGTTTACTGCTTTTAGACTGATGAAAGGGGTCCTACAATATAGATAAATTTCAAATTTAAGCATCAGTTAAAAATTGTTAGTGGGCAGCTGGTTGATAGTATTGAATGAGGCTGAAAGCTTACTGTTATTTTGACGCTTCTACTTCTGTAGGTACATACAAAGTAAATTATGGACATATGTTAGTACATACGAATACAGCTTACGTCAACCTTTTGCCACCTTAACGCACTTTTCTTTTCTGACTATTTACTTGAAAGCATTTAGGTCAGTACAACCGTTATAAACTGTAGAATAGTGTATCTTTGTTGGGTTACGCTGTTCAATCAAAAGCAGTTGACTAATAGTAATTAAACTAATCGATACAGCGGACGTGTTGATCAACTGTTTACATACAATATATAGAAATATATGCTTATTTCTTTTTAATAAACGAATACGCAGCATGAAACTGAATAAATTTTAATCCAAAAATGATTGATCATCGGAGGAACAATAGAACACTGTAATGAAGAGCTGAATTGAAAACTTCAGAATCAATTCTTTTTTGATAAGTAAAACTGAGAAAGCAAAACATCATTTTTCCAAAATAAATGTAATGCAAATGTTTTTTTTTTTCTTTCTTGCCAAACGCTTTATAAGTTTTACTGTTTTGAACTTTCAAATCTGAGTTGCTCTTTTTTTTTTCAACTAGATTATTTCCAAACAATGTATAAGAAATCTTTTATTTTGTTGTTGTTGTTGTTGTTTCTTCTTTTGTATTAAGTATAAAATAAACAAGAACAGGTGGCAAAAAAGAATTGGTTACAACATTTGAAGATGTTATTCAGGTATAGAACAAGCTGTTGCAAAAATGCAACATGACGATATAATGATATTTATATTTATAAAGATTGGTACAACTGAAAACCGTTACAAGGTTTCTAAGGCGCTAGTTTGAAGACTCCACAAAAAAATCTGGCCACTCGGCGAACTGTTAGTTTCTCTAGCGACACTTCTGCGATACCCTTGAAATTTTTTGTTAATTTCCATTGTAGCATACAAGTTTGGAACACTGTTTCAGTATAGTTTAGCGTATGTGTCTAAAATTGAAATTTAATATATAATTCTCGCAACTATTTCATACTCAAAATGTTGTATTTTGATCCCTGGTAAGCATCGCTAAATATTTTTGATTTTAACGATTTTGATTGCCTTACCTTATTCTTGTACTACCATTAGGTCCAATTTTAGTTAGGTCTATCTGGCTGACTATTGTCTACCAAACGTTTCTTAACAGTATCGAAACGCAATAAAATGGCTTTTTTTGAAAAACTAACCGTAAAGTTGAATATCGTATTTCCAGAATTTGCAATTATTCAGCTTCCTCCGTCTTCGTTCACTCTGTAATTCAGTAAAATTCTTACTTTTAAATCTAAAGTTTATGGGAATGGTAAAGGTGTATTTTTTTCTTCAGAATAAATGGAGTAATTTGTGTGTGCATAAATTTTTATAAAACATAGAGTTTGAATTGCTGAAATGGTCAGTGTCTAGAAGACAGCAATGGATTTCTGCAAAACGTATCTTTTTAATTGGGTCGCGGTTAATGCAACTTTAAATTATTTATTATGTAAATTCGTCTAAGCAATTGTTTCTAAGATTAATCTTTTCATCTCTGTTGGCTTTAAGCTGTTTGTTTATTTTCATTTGCAGTCAAATGCTTATCAAAACAATTGTCAGATTTTTGATAAACTCAGGTCACTTTTGCCATTTAATTTAATCGCAGTTCTACCGATTCTAATTTCTGTATAATTTTTTTGTTATCGTTTATGAATGTCTTTTTGAAGAATTTTTTTGGTCTTTTATATTCGTACCGTTTTTGAGTTTTAAACAGAGTTACAAAAGGTTGCAGTGAAGAAGGTTTTTCTAGTTGTTTTTTAGCACTTTTTTTTTTAAAATAACAGTATTATGGAAGACGAAAAGTAACCTAAATCCAAGAAACCATTTGTTAGAACTGATCTTTGCAAAATTGCAATGTATCACAAGTGGATAGCAACTTTGTTCTCAACTTTTGAAGCCTTATTTAGCAGACCTAAATCCTTTTTTTTTTTTTTTTTTTAAAACTGCAAGAAACTGTTTTTGGTTGAAAAAATTTTTTTTGAAATTTAAATTTCCTCATTTTTATTTTTTACTGCTTACAAAGTAATCAAGAAAGAGTTACTAAACGTTAGTTTTTAAACTCTTAAAATACAAAACAAAAATTTTACTGTGCAAAAAAGTTGGACAAATTTTTGAACAGTTCTAAAAGTGTAACTGTTTGTTAAATTGGAAAAAATGATGTGTTTGTTTTATTTTTTCTAAATATGATCATCGAACAGGAAACCTTATAATTATTCTATCGCACCTACTGCTACAGAATGATGGCTAACTATATGTTAGGTTGATCTAATAGTGAAGCAAAAATAAGTGTTTTTCTGTCAGTGTTTAACCTTTGCTAAACACTGTAAATGAGTTGTATTATCAATAAAAAAAATCTATTATTCTGTTTATTTATTTATTTTTAGTTTTTCTGTTTGCTTTTTTGTCATAATTTAAAATTTTTTTATCTCTTTTCTTTTCTTTTACACACCAAAAATAACTTTAATTAGGCAACAACAACAGTATAAACAGTGTCTTATGGAGAGTGTTTCCAATACAGTAGGCGTACAATAACTGATGTCAAAAGCAAAAAAAAAAAAGCAGCAATAAACCTAAAAGCAAACGAAAAAGAAGAAACATTTTTCTTTTTTTGTGTGATCGGTGAACAATTAAAAGTGTTAGACTAATTAGTTGTATGTCTCGGCAAATTCTGCTCTAACACAGTTCCATAAAGCATTTGTGTGACTTTAGATTCCTTGTCATTCCACACTGACTGTTTCTGTCTGATAATCATTCATCTTTGATTTTTTGATTAATTTGCATAACATTAACTTCCAAGAAAAAAAAAAAAAAAAGGGAAAACGAACACTCATTCATAATTTTATGCCGTATTTGTTGTTTATAATCTGTGTTGCTGTTGTTTTCTAAGCACTTTTGACAGTGCAATCACAAAAGTATTGTTTCTTTTTCTTTCAACTTTCTCTGATTTATAATATACTGCTGAAGCTTTTGACGCAGTTTCAGAAATTAGTTTTTGATTTTTATTTGGTCAACAACTGGAAAGCTTCTTTTTTTTTTATTGTTATTGTTGTTCCATAATTTTACCATATTATAGTTCAATGTTTCGATGTGTTTTATAAACAGACATAAGAAAGACGATAATATTGTTTGATCG